TGAAGTTTTAACCAAAGATGACATAAACATGGTAAGATTGTGTGGAAAATAGTCCCCTTAGCGGTAGTGGAATACTTGTCTTGGCTTGACTTGATTTTTCATCACACTGCATAATCTTATTCAACAAACTTATTTAATGTATGGTGTATGTTCTTATAGAGTGTAAGGTACTTGCTCTCAATATCCAAAATAAAAGAAGAAGTAAATATTCAGAACAAGATGGGTTACACTGCTTTGGACATGCTATAGCATGTTCCAAAAGACATGAGAAGTCTTCAAATAAAACTCATGCTGATGGATGCTGGATTCAAGAACAATGAAAATAACCAAGTTTATCATCCATCATCTGCATCAATCATAGATGTTCCTCCATCAAGGACAATTAATCCATATGAAAAGTTTTGGAGTTTGAAGCGTGTGAACAAGGTCTTACATCATAAGAGTGGTAGGTTGGAAGAAATGAGAGGCATGTTGAGTTTGGTGTCTACAATGATCTCAACCGTGACCTTTGGTGTTGTGATGGATCCACCAGGTGATGATTTACCTGCAAGTATGTGGGCATATGCACAATATAGAGAAGAAATGCTCACACGTTTGTTAACGATGAACACAATCTCTTTCATTGCATCACTTGGTGTCACTCTCTTACTTATAAGTGGAGTTCCCTTAAAGAATGAAGTCACAATGGGGCTCTTATCAGTAGGCACATGTGTCTGTCTCACATTTCTTGTGCTTACTTACATACATGCTGTGCCTTTGAACAAAAATATGTATTTTGGGGACACATTTTCTGTCTTGTTTTCTTGGCTTGGACTTGTTGGGGCAGTAGTTCTGTTTACCATAATTCGTGTAATTTATAAGCTAGCGAAAGTTCTGTATCATGGAGCAAAAGTTCTGTATCATGGAGCAAAAGGTGATTGAAATCTGGTCTAGAACATCTTTTTTACAGTTTGAACGTGTTTTTAATCCATCCATCTTAAGATAAGTTTTTGTTAGAAAGGTGTTTTTTTAGAGATTTGTCGGTTAACTGGTGACTAATTGTTGGAAAATATTTTTTTTAATAACAGATTGGTCATTATTAGTTCATTTTAAATATTCGATCTAATAAAACAATGATATATAATTTATTGTCAAAAAATTATTAAAAAAAGTTATAATACTTTATTAATTAAACAGCAATTATTGTGCACATGCTATATGCATCAAGTTGGGATCGGGCATCAAACAAACTTGACGTTCGCATAATTATAATGGTCTAATCACGCTACCCTTTTGCTCGACATTAGGAAGGGTCGGACGTGATAGGCCGGACGTTCGTATATCCATGATTATTGTTCTATCGAAAAACGTCATTGTTCTCAAACGGACTTTGGCACATAGAGAAAGAAATCGAGAAGTGAGGAGCGAGAACCGGATGAGAGACGAGAAGAGGAGGACGTGGAAGCATTGGACAACTCAGCCCCTACAACCGAAACACTATATAACAAAATAATTGTTGTAAAACAAACATTCTTTTCATTCAATATACATATACAATTTCCCTTCTTTTGCTTCTGTTTTTACTTCTATTCACTACTTCTCTCTTCTGTTTCTACCTTTCTGTCCGTCTTGTTCTTGGGTTTATTGTTCTTGTTCTTCCTAGTTCTAGTTGATAGGATTTGTACAGGAAAGGAAAAAGTATACTAATATAAAAGAAATTCACTCGTAAAAGAAAAATTATTAAATATCTAAATATATATGATACCAAGTCTCACTCATAAGAAAAGTTGAACACTGTAAAAAAATTATCATAAATCCGTTACGTGAAATGTTGTCCGAAGTTTTTCCCCATCTGAAAGGCCCTTCGGCATGAGTGAGGTAAGAGATGTTTTTAATTTGTTAAATTCATTGTTTTTAACATTAATATAATTTATTAATTTTTTCTTATTTTATTCGAGTACTATAATATTTATTGCTACCAAAATTTACAGTAGTCAACTAAGTATAATTTGTCCTTTACAAAATAATTGTTTGCAATTATGGATTTTACTAATGTCAATTTTTGATTAACGAATATAAAAGCATTGAATTTTACAACCAAGGTGAAAGGCTCAAAAAACAAGTAAAACTACACTAAAAAAATTATGGTTTAAATTGAAATTTTCAACATATTTTGTGTGCAAAAAAGGGTCATGTGACAAAAAAAAAATATTCATGCTGAGAAAAAAAAAATTGGGCACACAACAATTTTTTATAACTAAAATTTCTGGAATTCTTTTTATTGTTTAATACATATAATTTCAAATTTTATTCTTTACTGCATATATATTAAATATTCAATGACTATTATTCTAACATACCATTTCTTTTCATAACTAACATCGACCATTTAAAATAAAACAAAGTTATAATTTCTTTTAGTTCCTACCAGGAAAATACATGAGTTATGAAAATATATGTTTTTTTATGATAATAATAATATTTTTTATTATTTTATTATAAATCTTAAATATATATTTGTTTTATAATTTTATTATAAATAATGTTTATTAATTTTTTGTAAATAGTTTTATAATTAAAAGAGTGACTAAGTTTAAGAAGACAGTAAAAGAACGGTTAAATTTTTTAAAAAAGAATAATTAGTTAAAAAGTAAAATTAATAAATAAATATTTTAGTTTAAAAAAATTATTTAAAGCATAAAATTATATAATTTTATTTTTTTATTTCATTTTTTTCTATCAAACAGCAGTAGTGCGAAATGGTCTTTTATCTTCTAACATTCAATGTTAACAAAAAAATGTCAATGTAAAAATGAACAATTAGATGTCATACCATATACACATTAGACATCCGACCACTGTAGTAGTTGATGTTATATATGATTTTGAGTTGTCGAGCTCATTCTATTAAGTTGTCGAGCTAATCTTGTTGAGTTGTTACGGAGAACTTAATTTTATGATGTTGAAAAGTATAGGGACAATTGTCATATCGTATTAGACGTCGGATAGTTAGGAGGGTCGACTTCTAATGTTGTTAAATCATTAAAAAACTAAACTGAAAAGACGTTCTCCTATATACATATGACATCGGAAAGTCTAGGAGCCGTCATCATATCGTATTAGACATTAGATAGTTAAAGAGGTCGATGTCTAACTGTGTTTAAATCATTAAAAAAATACAATACAAATGTTTTTTCCAGTACTTATTAAACGTTGGCCCCTACTTGTTCGACGTCTAATTAGATATAACGTCAACTCACTAGGGCGTTCGACACATGTTATTTTATGAAGTAAAAGATTAGCGCGAGAGACAATTTCCCTTCCACTATTTCTTCCCGCTCTCTATTCTCTAACCTCCTAACGACTTCTACATT